ACTCCAAATTGGCTTTACCCATTGCCCCATTATCATCATCCAAACTGCTTGTCTTAAAGAGACACTGTCGCCATGACTATTAAGGTCAAAGTGACAGTATCTTTGCAAAGACACACCAAGACCAACTAATATTAACCTTGCCCCACGGTCACCTTATTTCCACCATTGCAGCTAGGGACAACACCTGGTGCTTCTATATACTGGGAAGCATGTGACCTCCTCCAACGTGAGGGTGATTGGGTCTAGCAGCCAATTGCTAGGCTTCAGCAATGAAACATGAAAGAGGGAATTATGTCACTGCTTCTCCTAGCATCTGGCACTAAGATGCCAGTTTTATTGAAAGATCGGAAGGAGTTGCTACAATTGAAATTACTGGTACCCATTTTGAGAAAGCCTACAAATCAATGAGAAGTACTCCCTTGAGCACAGTGTAAGTTGAAAATCCATTAAAACCAGAACATAGTGTTGCATCAGCCACTTCAGTGTAAAATGTATATATAGATTTTTTTAGAAAATGCATATATCAAGAAGCAATACACAAGAACAAATGTCCGAAAAGGAGAAAAACAAAATGAAAACAAAAGAATGGTGGGTAGTAATTATTTGTATTTTAAGTTTGATGTGCATTTAAAGTGTATCGAGTGTATGTGTGTACAAGAACAAGCAACTTACTGGTCCATGAATAAATAAATTTTTTGGGGGGAGGGGGCTTTTTTCTTTATTTTCTCCAGGTGATCCAGTCTTACAGGATCAGCCTTATGGAGGAGCAACAAAGCCACTTGTGGACCTCTAGCATTATCAACCTGTGGAGATGGTAGTGCTAGATGAGCTAGTATATTTAGATGGACTTTATATAAGTAACTTTTTAAGCAGTTATAGCAACGGTTTGTTAGTTTTTTTGGTGTGGAGCATAAACCATATTACCTATAAAAATACAAAACTAGAAGTTTGGGTGAAGTGTCCCACCATTTACACTATTTTTGCCAACATCCCAAATATTGAAACAAAAAAGCAGATATGGAGGTACTCCTCTTGGACTTTATGAGGCAGAAAGAAGTGTGCACAAAGGTATAAAACAGTAAATGTTTATTACAAAATGTTTGTTTTGATAACAAGGGCGGACTGACAACTCATGGGGCCCCCGGGCATAAGGGGATCACGGGGCCCCTGTGTCTTTGCCCACACTCAAAACACACCCAAAAAAAAGCCTATAAAAAGGTACCAGGGGCATTTCATGGGGCCCCCTACTGACCCTGGGCCCTCGGGCACTGCCCAAGTTCTCGAATGGTCAGTCCTCCCCTGTTTGATAATAAGAATCAAAGGATTCAATGTGATGGAGTAGAATACAACAATTCATGACTTAAAAGTAAATGACATGCACGATATGCATATAACCTGACAATCTGTAATACATTAACTGATAAGTGGGCTAACAGCCCAACAAAACTTGAGCAATGAGAGTATCCAGACAAATCCAATGCATTTTGGAACTCAGGTTTCCTTCTTCAGGGAATAAATATGTCAGGTCTAGAACATAACATCGAGTAAATACAGACAACGTTGTACATACTGTAGTATCAGATTAAGAATGTGTGAAAGAGGCTGGTTACTCATACACTTACAAAGTGCATCACATCAGGTAGTAGTTAAAAGATGATCATAGAGAATTAGGTGAAGATGCTTTCCAAGTGACACACCTGGGAGAAGGTGGGCAGGAACGCCCCAATGAACCACCAACAAGGACCGCACTACAGCAGCCAGTAAGGGGATCTATAAACTGTAATAAACATTTACTGTTTTATACCTTTGTACACACTTCTTTTTTCTTCATAAAGTCCCAGGGAGATACCTCTATATATGCTTTTAATTACCTATAAGGATAAAGGCTGACCATTGTAAGTACCCCTGCCAGTGTTTGCTTTAAAATCCTTCCACCTATGAACATTTGTGCTTTGTCATGCACCACCCTCCACTTGACACACACAAAGTGACACAGATTTACTCATAGAGAGGTGTCCTATTGGACAAAACAGCCACATGGAATATCCTGAAGTTAAAGTAGAAGATTTGCCTTCTAAAGTGATGAGTTCTGGACAACTTGGAGTTGCTCCTGTAGACTCCTATTCTGATCTATTTTTACCCTACCTATTCCCATAATAAGGAAAGGGAATAATAGCCAGTTAGTAGTGACCCTTGACCATATGCAATGCTGGATACATATGATAAAGCTATAAAAAGCAGTGAGCACACCATGATATTACTATAATAAAGTTGGTAATCCATAAAACATGCCTATGACAGTTTCAGTTGACACATGGTTAGATCACAGATCATATATATATATATTATATATATATATATATATATATATATATATATATATATATATATATATATTTTATTGTAAGATGGATATATGAAATAAACATGCTATATTATGTTGCACATAATATGATGACAGAAAGATGATTGTGTACCTGTGTTCCAATAATGATGTGCAAATTACAATGTAGTTTCAAATAAAATACATACTATATATGCAACATGTTGCAGCAGCTATGTGGTAGGTGAGAACTAGAGCAGGCCTGGGCAATCATTTTGTACTGTTACCTTTTCCTAAGGAGAAAAACTGATGTCAGTAAGTAATTCTGTAAAAAGAATTTGTTTTTCATTTCTCTTATAAAAAAAACATACTTTCATTTATAATTTTAATAACATTCAACACTTTAATATTAGGATGCATCCTAACACCCAGTTTGTAAGACATGTTGGTCTTTTGTAATACAAAAGCCTAGCACTGTCTACATTCTTGTAAGCACCCTTTTTGTGTACCTGCATTGATCAGATAGGTAAGTCTGGCTTATTTCTGGAATGAGAGAATAGGAGTGAGTAATTTTGTAGGACATGTAATCTGTCCTCACTGCTTTTTAGATGTATTCCCCAGTGGCTGTTGTCTATGCTTACAAAAAAACGGTACTTTGCTCAGAGCTTACGAGCTGCTAACTACAAGTGTTTAATGTGAAATATGCAAATGTCATATTATCCTAATTAAAATCAATAAAACGTGTATTTTAAACATTTTCATTTTTAACATAATAAAGAAAATATATATAAACATGCTATAAAAACTCCTTTACCATGATAATAAATTATGTTGACATACAGTAGTAAAGAAAACATTAAAAAAATGCTAAACATCTCTTTTCCATCATAATAAATGTTGATATATAAATAGTTAAATGCTCTTCATACTGCTTTTTGTCATTGGTTATTTATGTCATGTCTGAGCCACCAATTTAGACCTAGTATATTGAATTTCTGTCCTCTTTTGTCAGCACAGCATGATGCATGATGTGTGTACCATTAAGAATATCCACAGTGAAAGCTGTTACAGAATCTTAATTGGGTGACTAAATGTGAATGTTATAGGACGAATAGGCAGCATTTTTTACTTAGTTGTCTCTTTGGCTTCCTTTTAAGATTTTCTGAACAGGCACCCTCCAGCTGGTCAAATGCATACATTTTGAATAAATTATTTAACAAGACTCTTATCAGTTAATAAACCAAACAGTTTTCTGGATTGTAAAGCACAGTACCCATGCTGTGCTTTAGGCACTTTTCTGAAGATGTCCATTTTTCTGAAAGCCATTGAAACTTTATTGCAAAGCATTAAAACAACTGCAAACCCATGTCAACATACATATCTATATTAAAGCTCAACTCCAGGAAACTTTAAAGTTATCCCTTGCAGTGGAGCTGTGCTTACACTGCAAGGGTTAACTGCTTGTTGAGTCTAGGGGGAAGTTTAACTCACCTGATCCTCTGCCCCCCTGGCAAATGGTGTGCCTTCATGCTTAGGCAGCGGACTGTCCTTCAGCATCATCAGGCCCTATTCAGGGCTGTGAACCCTGCATTGGTCTTGATGATGTTAGGACCTTAGAATGGGGTAAAAAATTTGTGGGGACTGGTCTAGCAGTAAGGAGGATTGGGTAAATCATTTTCATTTCTGTGTCTCTTAGACCTAAATGAGCAATTATCTGTTGTGTGCAGGGATTATTTTAAAGTTTCCAGGAGCTGGGTTTCAAAGTGGCTCTAAAGTCAATACATTTTTTACCCTAATGCATTCCTTGCATTAAGGTAAAAAGTGTTCCAGTGATTGTATCACCCCACCCCCATCTCTCTAAACACTTACCTGTGACTATCTGTAACTGCATCTTCCTCTGCTCACAGGACACAGATGCAGCAGTAGGAGACATTGTGAGCCATAAATCTTGGTAAGAAGGGAGTGGGGGGCGGAGATGAGCCACACTGTGGGTGTCTATGGACCCACGCAGCCCAGCTTGGGGCCTCCATAGCAGCCAACTTGCTATAGGGGTACTCACAGAAGAGGAGAAGCGCAGAGCGCTGGTGGGAGACCCACCAGTACCATTGCACAGAGCAGGTAAGTACAACATAATTATTATTTTGGAAAAAAAAAGTTATTCTTTATAACAGATTTAACCATTTTGTTGCAAAGTCCATATGGCGTATGGGATTGTATGTACATCTTGCCTGTCAAATGGAAACATTAATTGCGTCCATGCACCCCCCCGGTAACAGTGCTCCCCCGCGTGGTGGAGTACAGGGCAGATATCCATGGTCTTTAACCACCTTCCGCCCACCCTATATTACAATGATGGGCGCAAGGTGGTTCTCTCGTTCTGATAGGACGTCATATGACGTCCTACCATTCTCACTGCGCATGCGCGGCTCAGGGAGCGCGCATCGCGCCGATCGCCGGTCCGCTGTGTCCCTTGAAGATGTCGGCTCGGTCATGTGATCAGCTGTGTCCAATCACAGCTGATCACATATAAACACGGAGATGCCGGTTACCGGCATTTCTCTCCTCTCGAGCTGTCACGCTGACAGCTCGAGAGGAGAGACGAGCCTGTAATTGGCTTTCCGCGGAGGGGACATGTACACTGATCATCAGGGCACTGATGATCAGTGTGCCCTGATGATCAGTGTGGCCCCAGAAGTGCCACCTGTCAGTGCTCATCAGTGCCAGTGCCCATCAGTGCCACGTGCCAGTGCCCATCAATGCCACATATCAGTGCATACCAGTGCACATCAATGCCACATATCAGTGCCCATCTGAGCTGCCTTTCAATGTCACCCATCAGTGCCAGTCAGTGCCACCTATCAATGCCAATCAGTGCCACCTATCTGTGCTGCCAATCAGTGCCACCTATCAGTGCCATTCAGTGTCGCCTATCAGTGCCATTCAGTGTCGCCTATCAGTGCCAGTCAGTGCCGCTTATCAGTGCCAGTCAGTGCCACCTAACAGTTCCAGTCAGTGCCGCCTATCAGTGCCAGTCAGTGCTGCCTATCAGTGCCATATATCAGTGTCATGTATCAGTGTCATGTATCAGTGCTGCCTTTCAGTGCCCATCAGTGATGCCTGTCAATGCCCATCAGTGCAACCTACCAGTGCCTCCTCATCAGTGCCCATCAGTGCCACCTATCAGTGTCCATCAGTGCAGCCTATCAGTGCCCATCACTGCAGCCTCATTAGCGCACATCAGTGAAGGTGAAAAATCACTTATTTACAAAATTGTATAACAAAAACTAAGAAAAAAACTTGTTTAAGTTTCCAGGCAGAAAGAACAGTCAAAATGTAGGCAGGGCACAGGACAAAGCAGTAGGGACAAAATATATGTGAAATGCATTGAAACAGCAATGTTTTACTATATAATAATTATTTTTAAAAAAATGAAATTTTTTAAAAATTTCAAATTTCCCGCCAGTTCCGGCGCCCGAACGTCCCGACGTCACAGAGACCGGAACACGGAAGCTGGATGCCGGCATCGGCCGGAGGAGATGGCCGGGGACGCTGCAGGGAACACATCATGGGAGCGAAGGACAAGGTAAGCGCTGCAGGGACTCCCTGAGCAACGCCGCATGGTAAGCCCGAGTGTAGCTCGGGGTTACCGCTCTTGGTACTGAAATTTTACCCCGAGCTACACTCGGGAATACCGCCAGGGAGGTTAAATCAGGTTTTCTTTTTTTTTTTTGCAGAATACAGAAAACGAATCTCATAGTGACTAAGTGAGTATGAACAGCATGTAACACATCATTTATTGATAGTTTTTTTTTTATGATGTGGGCTTAGTGACACTTTAACTTATAAGTGATGGATTATTGGGTCTAACACTGAGCCTCTCTGTCCACTCAGTCATTTCAGCACATGATTCCCTACTTCAACCTCTGGTTGTCTTCTTCAATCATTATCTCCAATGTCCAGTCTATGCCTCTGTACCTTTGTTATTCTTCACAGTATTTATTCATTGTATGCACATTTTAGTTACTTTCGATATGATTTGCTCTCAGCACTGTCTACACAAACATAATTTATTACTGAATTTTCTACTTCTGGAAAGAAATTGGGAAATTAGAGTGGAATAATGAGGTAAAAAATTGTTATTTACGTTCCCCGATTGCCAAAAAAAAAACATTGTAGCACAAGTAAATGTGGCTTTGGATTTTCGACTGGAATTTTATTAGAAGCCTTAAAAAAGTCCTTCAGCATAATCACAGTCAACCGAGACTCAACAGTGACTCAAATGTTCTATCTTCATTTCTTCAAGTAAAAGGCAATTTCCTCTGTGTTCACACTTACTTTATATCTCGTAATTCCACTTTAAGCAGTTGTGGTCTTTTGAGCATACCACACATGGACTGCAAAACTTTGGAGGTGTGTGGTTCACCCTGCTCCTCTACCTTTCCTGCAGATCCCTGACCACATTTTAGTTGTACCCGGCTGTCTTGGCTGTCCAAAAATTAACAATACATTTAAGTGCTATATATTGAAAAAAGATACATTTATAGCTACTTCCCGTCCGCCCTATAGCAGATGTACTGCTACAGGGTGGCACGGGTGCGCAAAAGCCCAGTCATCTCTTATTTGATGCGATGGGCTTAAATGATATGTGAGGCAAGGGCAATAGGCAATATTCCAGGGAAGCCTAGTCAGGCATTCAGGCTCTGGAAGAGATCATGTGGGTCTGCAACTTAGCCATCTTGGTCCAGAAGTCCACCTGCCTGGACACCTGGCTCATTATAAAAGGGCTGGAAAACCTCACAGAAAAGGGGCTGTGCTATGGATTTTGAAACTCTGTGAATGTTGGGGCCATAAGTACTATGCAGTGGCCCTAAAGGGGCATATGTGAGCCCCCAGCACCCCTTGTTAAAATAAATTAAGGCCTGTTTTAGGTTTTAATAGTGTCTATGTACTGGGCAGTTTCTTGGCACCCCGTTCATCAGTTTCAGGTACTCCCTTTCAGGGGCGGACTGACAACTCATGGGGCCCCCGGGCAATAGGGGATCATGGGGCCCCTGTGTCCTTGCCCAAACTCAAAAAAGCCTATGAAAAAGGTACCAGGGGCATCTCATGGGGCCCCCTACTGACCCCGGGCCCTCGGGCGGTGCCCGAGTTTCCAAATGGTCAGTCCGCCACTGCTCCCTTTGCTGTATCCAGGCAGGATTTCAGCTATCAACTGTTGCTAGGCAGATCATCTAGTGACTTTTCACCCTTTGATTGGTTACAGACTTTCTAAGGTAAACCTTTCATCCAACACGGATTCCCACTCACCTTTAAGAAACTTCTTGAGGTGTTTGTCAGCAGTTAGACCTTCAGTCAAGACAAGCTTTTTGGAGGGCATTGTCATCCACTATTGTGGGTGAACAGTGTGGTTAAAGACTTTAATGGACTGTTACTTTCATCTTGAGTCTTGATGACTGAGTTTTGGTGTTTGATATTCATTTTGTTTGTGGTTATAAAGTTTAAAGAAAGTTTAATGATTTTATTTACAAGCTTTTAACCGCAGTAAAGGACCATGGCCTAATATTTTCCATCATGGTTATCTTTTATTGTTTCATTTAACCACTTTACTACCTCACTATAACCAAATTATGGCAACAGCATGGTAGTCCAGTTCTGTGAGGGCGTCATATGGGGGTTTATTTACTAAAGCTGGAGAGTGCAAAATCAGACTCACTTCTGCATAGAAACCAATCAGCTTCCAGGTTTCATTGCCAAAGCTTCATTGAACAAGCTGAGGTTAGAAGCTGATTGGTTTCTATGCAGAAGGGAGTCTGATTTTGGACTCTCCAGCTTTAGTAAATAAACCCCATGATGTCCTCCGAGATCGCTTCCTCCCCCTCTGTGCACCCTCAGCAATGTGCACCCAACGCTGTCTGTGATTGCTGTGTCCTCAGGGCACAGTTGATCACATGACATGGTAAAAGGCCAATTACAGCAGCCTTTTTCCATGTGACCAGTTGTGTCCAGTCACAGCTGACCACTATGTAAATACACTTGCTGTTTATTATCAGTACTTTCCTCACGCTGTCACAGTGTGAGGAAACTACTGGCAAAATTGGCAATTGTCAAAGCAGACATCTGCACTGATAATTGGGGCACTGATTATCAGTGCTCTGATTATCAGTGCAGCCCCAAAAGTTTTTAACATTGCTGTCCATCAGTGCCCAACAGTGTGATTAACAGTGCCCAGCAGTGCTGCCCATCAGTGTCCAAAAGTGCTGCTCATCAGTTCTCATCAGTGCTGCCCAGCAGTGCTGTCAATCTGTGCCCAGCAGTGCCACCAGTGAGTGCCGCCTATCAGTGCTGCCAGTCAGTGCCCTTCAGTGCTACCTATTAGTGCCCTTCAGTGCCGCCTATCAGTACCCATCATTGCTGCTTATCAGTGCCCATCAGTACTGCATACCAATGCAGCATCATCAGTGCCTCCTCATCAATGCCCACTAGTGCTGCCTCATCAGTGCAACCTATCAGTGCCCATTAGTGCTGCCTATCAGTTCTGCCTCATCGGTGCCCATCAGTGCTGCCTATCAGTGCAGCCTCATCAACGCACATCAGTGAAGTAGAAAAATTACCTGTTTGCAAAATTTTATAATAGAAACAAAGAAAATATTTTTTTTTTCAAAATTTTCACTCTTTTTTCATTTATAGTGCAAATAAAAACACCCAGTGGTGATTAAATACCACCAAAAAAACTCTATATGTTTAAAAAAATGTATACAAATTTCATATGGGTACAGTGTTGCACTTACCTGAGCCCCAATCCTGATACAGCAATGTCCATGAGAGCCTCTGGTTTCCGGGGACTCTCACTCCTGATTGGCTGCCAGGAACAGCAAGTGCTGTCACAAATACAGATAGTGAAAATGACTGGAGACAGGTGGGTGTTGTGCTCTAAGAAACATTTTGCATGGATATATATGCAGTATGTATATTACATCTCTATGATATTACATTGGTTAAACCTTGTCTACCTTTTAAATTAGTTTTTTTATCTTTATGATATTGAGATACGTGTTCTATTGTAATATTAATGAATAAGTAGGTGTACTATGTGTTTTACAAATCTTGGTGTCCTCAGTTGCTGTATGTCATAAAGTGCCCCACTGCATATGGGGCCAGATTATTATTATTATTATTACATCGAGTTTATATAGTGCCAAAGGGTTTGCTCAGCGCTGTACAATAGAGGGGGGGACAATACATGAAACATTACAGCAACTACAAACAGCACACGAGGGGTTATAGGACCCTACTCTTTCGAGCTTACAATCTAGGAGGGAGGGGGTAGTGGTACAGGAGGAAGTGGCTGTGGGGGATGGAGTGGTAGGAGGAATGAAGGAGAGCAGCAGTTAGGTGAGGGTGGGGTAGGCTTCCCTGAAGAGGTGGGTTTTCAGGGAGCGCCTGAAGGTGAGGAGGGAAGGTGACAGTCTGATGGATTGGGGTAGTGAGTTCCAGAGGATGGGGGAGGACCTGGAGAAGTCTTGCAGATGTGCGTGTGAGGAGGAGACCAGGGAGCAAGATAGAAGGAGGTCCTGTGAAGAGCGAAGGGTACGGGTAGGGTGGTACTTGGGAATCAGGTTGGTGAGGTAGTTAGGGGCAGTGTTGTGAACGGCTTTGTAGGTCAGAGTGAGTAGTTTGAATTTGATGCGTCAAGCGATAGAGAGCCAGTGGAGGGATAGGCAGAGGGGGGTGGCAGAGGTGGAGCGGGTGGTGAGGTGGATGAGTCTAGCCGCTGAGTTCAGGATGGTCTGAAGCGGGGAGAGTTTGCACTGGAGTAGGCCGGTGAGGAGGGAGTTGCAGTAGTCAAGGCGTGAGATAATCAGGGAGTGTACGAGTAGTTTAGTGGTGTCTGGAGTAAGGAAGGTGCGTATTTTGGCGATATTGCGGAGGTGGAGCCTGCATGTGTTTGTAAGTGATTTGACATGAGGTTGGAAGGAGAGGTTAGAGTCCAGAATGACTCCAAGGACTTTGGCTTGCGGGGCGGGATTGATGGTGGTGATGTTAGTAGTGATGGATAGGATGGGGGGGGGCGCGCGGGCAGGAGGGAAGACGAGAAGCTCGGTTTTGGAGAAGTTAAGCTTGAGGAAATGGAGCGACATCCAGTCAGAGATGTCGTTTAGGAGGTGAGTGATGCGGGCGGAGAAAGTGGAGGTGAGGTGGGGGGTGGAGAGGTAAATTTGAGTGTCATCAGCGTAGAGGTGGTAGTTGAAGCCGTGGGAGTGTATGAGTTTGCCAAGGG